GGGGCCACCAGGGATTTTTACCACCGGTTTAGACAATTGATGTCAGTCGTCCCTTCTGGTTCAGCCGAACCTGGCTGAACCAGGAAGATTTCACCCCTGTTCTATTCATGCATTAAAGTGGCATCCAATTTGATCATTTGATTACATTTTAACTGATTTAGAAAGTTTGCAAATTCAATTAAATCCATTTTGAACCAAATCTCTAAACTAAGTTTGCATGATCATAAAAATGTTATATATCTGGAATATGAATTTTCTGTTCATTAAGTTTCCATATTTTATTGTTCAGCATGGCTGAAATAGAATTTCAGAAGTGGATGTTCCTCTAATCTATTCCAGAGAATTTATCTTCTACTTTATAATTTATAAACAAATAAGGGTATTCCTGTTCTCAAATAGTTATATATTTAAGGGTTTAATATAAGTCTTACTTCTTCAGGAGTAATAGACACCTGAGAGGTCTTTATGATAGACTCATCTGATTCCCAAGTAGTCTGGGTTACTCCACAGGTTTTGGGGGTCCCATCCTCTTTTTCTACATTTTCATATTTGTAGACTGCATGGGCTTCACTGTCAGAAACCTTCAAGGGTTCAATAAGGTACGTCTCACCTTGATGCGTGAATTGTCCTCTGTATAAAAAAAGTACATTCTTAATGAATAGGGTGATTAAAGGTGGATAATCAATAGAAGACAATATTTGTACTTCAGGGCTGAACTGCACTAATGACTTGGGTAACAAAAAATCAACCGACCACACAGAGTGTACAGGATCCCTCGATGGGTAACCAATTCTTAACTAACCAAGTCAACAGTCTCAATATAACCATGAAATATCTCTACAATATTTGTAAGAAGACTAAACCTGTTTGAAAAATTTGGTTTTATGTAAAATTTTATTTTATAAAATGAAAATATTTTGTCAGATAGATAGATAGAGAGATAGAGAGATAGATGATATAGATGGTATAGGTATAGATATAAATCAGTGATGGCTAACCTTTTCCCCATTGCGTGCCAAAAGCAGGGGAAGCACAGGGGGGTTCTGCGCAGGCTTGCCCACATCCATAATGCTATGTGCATGACCTCCTGTGTGCATCCATGCATGAGCCCCACCTCCCCCCCCAGCTTTTGGCCCAAGTTGGACACATTTTTCGCCCTCCTCAAGCTCGAGAGGCTTTCTAGAAGTTTGGAGAGAGTGAAAACAACTCCCCCCCCCCCGAGGCCCTCCTAAGGCTTCTGGAGCACAAAAAATGGCCCTACAGAAAAACCAGAAGTTCAGCAATAGACTTCTGGGTTGCTTATAGGGCCATTTTTCACCCTCCGGAGGCTTCAGGAGGCTGCCCTGAAGCCTCCAGAGAATGAAAAACAGCACTACAGGCAAACCGGAAGTTTGGGGATTGACTTCAGGGTTGTCTGTAGAGTCATTTTTCACCATCACCCCCTGAGTGTGAAAAACAGCCCAATGGGTGAAACGGAAGTCCATTCCTGAACTTCCAGTTTGCACGTTGGGTTGTTTTTCGCCATCTGGAGGCTTCAGGAAAGCCTCCAGAGAGTGAAAAACGGCCTAAAAAGAAGGCCGGTCAGTTGTGGCATATCTGTGTCATGGATATAGATATCGATATAAATACAGCTATAGTTTTTTTGTATTTTCCTTCAAGGATAAACCGCTTCTGAATTTTGGAATCTTTATATGTGGCTAAGTTATCTACAGGCTTGGAGAAGGTGGGCAATGCTGGTCAAGAAGATATTTCTGGATAGAAATGAAAAGTCTGCTTGTCTCCACACACTTTCTAGCAAGGTGCACAATCTGAAACCTACCTATCTTTTTTTCTTGTAACGTCAGCTCCTATATGCAAAGGAGATACAGACCTTAAAGCTCATCTAGACAGGTCTGATTTAGCTCCCTACTGTGTCTACTGGCTGGCAGAAGCTCTTCTTGGTATCCAAAGTCTTNTCCATTAGGACTGACTGGTTGGATTGCTTTGCAGTCCAAGGGACTTGCAAGAGTCTTCTCCAGCACCATAATTCAAAGGCCTCAATTCTTTGGCGCTCAGCCTTTCTTATGGTCCAACTTTCACAGCCAAACATTGCAACTGGGAAAAACATAGCCTTGACTATATGCACTTTTATTGGCAGGGTGGTGTCTCTGCATTTTAGTATGCTGTCTAGAGTTGTCATTTACTAATCTGTATGGCTATATAATAATCCTCCGCTATCATTTCTATAGAATAAAATAGCATTTTCTAACAGTTCCCCATATCCAGAAGATCAAGGGGGCAATGCTCAGAGGCAGTCATTTTCAAAGGCAGTACATTTCTCTGCTACTGTTGCTGTGGCTACCTTGGCTATCTACTAGAAAAAGCTGAAGACAGAGATGTATTGCAGTGTACTCCTAGGCTACTGGGAGTTGAGTTTAGCCTATGTGGATGGTACCATACTAGAGGTGGTATTCAGCCAGTTCTGACGGGCGCTAGCAAACAGGTAGCAGAAATTTTGAGTAGTTCGAATAACCGGAAAATATCACCTCTGGCTGTCTCCACCCCATCTATTTGCTGCCTCCCGAGGCCCAGCTGATCGGAGTCCCAGCTGGGTCTTCTTCTGTTGCCCTGCACCGTATAAGGTACTGGAAAGCAGGTTAGTGGAGTTGGGTGGAAATGGAGATTTTATAGTATCATTGCCCTGGAGTGAGGTGGGAAGGGAAGGGAGATTTTACACCATCCTTCTCCCAGGGGTGGGGAGGAAATGGGGATTTTGCAGTATCCTTCCCCTGCCATGCCCATGAAGCCATGCCATTCCCACAGAACCGGTAGTAAAAAAAATTGAATCCCACCACTGTTAACTATACTAAGTGGAGGATACTTGGGGAAGAGTGACACTATATAATCATTGTTGAAATGTTCTCTGACTGTGTCATTTTCATAAGATGAAGCCATTCCTCTGTTGTTGTGCTCATTGGTCAATGTTAAGAAAAGTAATGCACCTTCAGCGGCCTATTTAACATCAGCAGACTATTTCTCAATATCAGTGGGGCTGTCCAAAACTTTTAAGATGCTAAACACACATGCTGGAAAAGCCCAGAGATTTTGAATATGAAAACTAACCGTGAAACATTAAAAGATTTTTAGCTAAATTAGAATCTGATGGCTACTGAGCTCCTATATCCTTATATTCAGAGAGCTCAAATACAATAAACAGCTTAATTCGAGAGAGAAAGACAAATATAATAATTTATAACAGATTCCTCCTTGGCTGATGCTAACTCCCTTTGACACTGCAACAAATCCTCAAAAACAGTTCAAGCTCATTTATGGTTGTCTTCCTGCTGTAAAATATAAAATACTGGAAACAACAAAAAAAAAAACCCCTAATAATTGTTGCCTTACCCCACAAGACAGAGTTTTCTTTTAAAGAAAGACTTCATATTTTCCTCAGAATAACTAAATAAAATACATTAGGAACATAACACATAAAGTTCATATTTACTGCAGGTTGTATGCATTTATTGAGACCTTGGTATCCACTGAACTTGGTTTTCTTGCAAAAATTTCATTACTTTCTTATGCAACAATGTCAATGCTTTGACACAAAGGAGGGAGGTTTTCAGGCTTTTTATGTGTGACATGTCATACCTGTCTTGATGAGTTTATGTGCGTGGTTTTGAATGGCTCGTGGCTTGATTTGCTGTATATAATGGTTTCTACCTATTTTGCTGATTCTCCCTTATAAACTGGTTGCTGGGTGTAGGATAAGGATATACCTGCATCTTTCTTGATCCTTTGTTATTTAACTAGTTTGTAGACTATGTTTATCTCTATGTGTCAGTTAATGGCTCACCTATCAGAAAGCCAGACTTCTAGGAATTGTCTTGTGTTCTTAGACTTAGCTTTATTTAAAATTTGTTTCCAGTTGGATTTGTGGTTGAAGCTGACCGTGTGTTATCTTGTTTATCCAAGTACCGTAGTCTCTTCTTAAATTTTACAATTGCTTTGTATATGGAGATCTGCTACCAATCTGCATTAAGAATCCTTTTCTTGACACCTGCACCATTAAAGAATTGTCCAAGTAAAATATGATTTTGAGGATACACTTTGAAGAGCAATAAATTGTGGCTCACTGCAGATAAGCTCTCTGCCCAGGTGAGCAGATGGTGCAAAATATGCCATACTGTGTTTGGCTGAAGAACAGAAGAAATGGCCAAGCACCATCCCAATAAACCTCTGTTTTGGAAAAAGTTTAAAAATGTTGCCCAGACTCATTTCTTCCTGAAATATCAGCTGAATACAATTTATGTTGTAATGTCATCTCTGATAGTTTGCTCCAACAGTTAATGCATGGATGGAGAGATTTAAAATCAGACTTTCATTTTAAGAACTTGGCTCCATTGCCTTTAAAATATTATGCATTCTTAGGCGAGGATATAGGGACATCTTTTAAAAAAAAACACTGATGACCAATATGTTCTGAAAGTCCCAATTGCAAAACGTGTGGAATTTCCGTCTTAGAAGCACAGTGTGCTCAGATGCTTTAGGGGAAAAATTATATTGTGGTGGAAAATATTATGTGAAAATAAGTCAGCAAGACTGAAATTCTTTTCATTAATAGTTTATTAATGTTTTCAATCATATACAGCTAACAATGTGCAAAATAATAGAATATGACTTGTCTAATTGAGTATCTTGCAACAATTACAACATCAGTTCCAATTGTCCATAAAAATCTTAATTTTTTTCAAAATGTCCCCCTTTTAAAAATAAGGCTACTGGTGTTACAGTCTAAAATAACTACACTATCAAACCAATCCATTTCTTTTCAGAACTAAGTCCTATAGAATTTTAGTGGGGCTTCTTCCAATGTGCAGGATTATAGTCCCAGAATAAGCATTTATGCCAAGCCAGCAAAAGACTACTTTGGCACAGAGGGCAATGGACTAGCTACTTTGGAATGGAGTGTTCTTCTCTAAATCCCACCAGATGCAACCATGCTTGTTTTCTCTTTGATCATTCCAACAAATTTTTCAAAGTAATTTATATTTCCAATTCACTCTCCCCTTTTCTCCAAATTCTTTCATCAAACACACAGAGAGAAGCACTGCCAAAATGCCTCTGACTTAGTGCAGAGGGTAAAAACAGGAGACTTTGGAAAGTAAGCTTGGCTACCTTCTGAGGAGTTTCTTTCATCTCAGAATATTATCAAAGGATGCCGAGTGCATTTCACCACATGAAACTCCCAATATTGGGATAGGGGAGGAGGGGGAGAGGGTCCCCCTTGGTGTTACATTTTCATGGAATAGGACTATAGGCCCCCAACCTTTCTCACTTTCATCTCTGCCATATTTCATTAGTCAGTGATACAGATGTGCAGCAGATGTGCCCAGGTTATCAGGAAGCAGGTGATGATGTGCAATAAATTGGGTGATGATTAATAGAAGAAAAAATCTTTGGGGGAAATGGATGG